CGAACCACCGTGGACTCCATTCCAGAGTTGTATGGTACGTGATCAGAGCGACCTCTAAAAACGTATCGTGGGTGGTTTTTAATTAGCTTTTGTTGGCAGTAAAGCATACGGCCCTACTGATGGTAAAAAGTTATCGTGGCCCATGGACGTCAGAAAAACCAGGGGCATCAGGAAACCGTTGCTTACGAAATGCTCCGATCAGAGAGTAGCTGGTGTGACCCTAAATATATCACTACGGATCCTCCCGATCCATTAACGGTGCTTTGAGGCACCTCAAGCACCGGTTATCGTCCTCGCCGAACCCGTCACTTGCGACGAAGGGCTCGGCAAGTAAATTAACCCACAGACACAGCCCACTGATTTTTTCGCCGGATCTTCTCAGTGGGTCGCGTTTCCGATCCGGTGGTAGATTCAGCACTGCTCTTGCTAGAGCCAGTATTAGCAACATTCTCGGTCTGAGCCCCAAGAGCTAGCCTACACGCTAAGGTTACGCTGATATAGCCTCTCAAGGCTATCAGCTTAGGTAGGAAAACACAAAGCTGATGCGGTTCTTAAATGGAAATCGTCGGAAATCAAACGAGGAGGAAGGCTCATACATACATAGAGCTGCAACTAAGCCAACAGCGCGTGGACAAGTAAAAGTCTTCTTTTATACAATCATAAAATCATTATCATACACGCACGCGAACGAAATCGAGAGTTTCTGTTTTTGAACAAGCAAATTTAGTCCTTAACGCACGCACAGAACGCACAACGTTGCGCAACAGAATAATGGATATACAACTTTACCTAAATCATTATAACGCTTGCGCTTATGTAAAAGGAAATTTAATCCTTGTGCCGATGACGAAAGGTATATAATTGTGTAAATGTATGCGTATTTACGCGCTAATCGTTTAGATCTTAAAAATGTATAAATGAAATTCATTGAGTTCGAAATTATCTAAATGTTCTAAATACTAACCACGCTGGTCCTTATTGAATTGAGTTACTTCAGTATACGGAACGGACGAAAGCAATCTATATATTAATACGTGAAGCAAAAACTTTGTATCCCTTTTTACGAAAATTGCGCGGACGGAGGAGTATGAAATTTTCCACACTTATAGAGAATATAGAGAAGAAGTGCATAATGCTAATATTTTTTTTTAAATAATGCATAAAAGATACATTAAATCAATAAAAAAAACATCACACACACTACATACCATGTATTTGACGCACACACGCATGCATACTATTTATTGTCAAACTTTTGTTCTTGACGTCTGTTGTCAAATTGAGAATAGATTAAATATTGTTTGTCTTTATTAATATTTTTTATAGAGTAGCCTTGACGAAATTTGTGATTATAGAAGTATAAAATACAATCATAATAGTGTACAAACTTACAATTCCAATTAATTATAGTCGAATTTCGACTACTGCGGGACCTCTAGTTATTATTTAAATTCTTACTTTAGTGACATTTACGGAGTAATCGCTCAAGTAAATGTCACGGTTTCTTGGGGTTGGCTAATTAAGTGTGTTCTATTGTATTACGTGGTTGTTATTAATTATTATTATTATTATTTATATTTATTTAAAATCTCATTAAATACCTAATATTTTTTAAAAAGGATATTAAAAATAAAATTTTCAAAAAACACTATATAAAAATAGATTGCCGCTGATGGCGGTGTCTAAGACACAAGCCGCCAGTGGTTAGGACTCCAGAGTGAGAAACATCCTCACAATGCGTGCAGTATCGAGGATAACTGCTTTCTGCATTAGGACTTTAACCCAGCTGGATAACGAAAGTTTCTTAAGATGTTGATCGAAACTTTTCGCCATCAAGCCGTGTACCGACACAACTATTGGAACAATGGTGGTCGAATCAACATGCCACATGGCGGTAGTCTTGTGGGCCAGGTCTAAATATTTTATTATTATTATGTATTAAACACTGCCACGCCTGGGAAGACGGCAGGACACACTCCGGCGAGGTGGGCAACAATCGGCCGGAGCGTTAGGGACTATTGGGAGAGAAACCGGCGAACTATACGGGCATTGTCGAGCAAGACTGCTTTTTGCATTTGGGCCACCACCGACTTTTTGTTGAGACCAAGCCTTTCGAGATGTTTTGAGATTATTATTATTAGAGATTATTATTATTATTGTGTATCTTTATTTACGAGTAGTAAGCATTACTTATAACATATGTTAGTAACTTCAAAACGGTGTCAAAAATTAATGTGGCATCATCTGATATATAACAACAAACAATACAATATTATATAAAAAAACTGAGTATGTGAATAGGTTTTTGTAAATATTCCGCAGACTTCTTATGGTATTTTAAATTGAGGTTAAACCAACTGTAAATACAGTTAAGTTATAAAACTCCTCTGATATTAATGTTTGTCTGTGCGCAACGGCCGTCTGGTGTAGTGGTAAGTGACATGGTCACTACAAAAGGGGGTCGCGGGTTCGAATCCCGCCAAGCGAAGATATTTGTATGATAAATATAAAATGTATTTTCCAGGGTTATGGATGTATATTAAATATATGTATGTGTATAATAAAAATCTTACATTTATTTCCGTTATCTGGTACCTGTAACACAAGTTCTTTACGAACTTATCACGGGATCAGTTAACGTGGCGTGATTGTTAGTAAATATTTATTATTATTATTATTATTTTTTGTATTGTGTTTCTCGAAATACTTAAGATATTTCGGTATAATGAAGATCACGGGCCTGTGCCAAGTGAGCTTCATTTTCTACTTGCAGAATATTTAGGTCTTCCTGCATGAATTGACGGACTATACGGCATGTGTTTAATATTGCGGCTTTTTGCATGGTCATGTACGCATGGTCATGTTTTCTGCTATGTCTAATATTTTTAAAGATTGGAGTACGTGTTTAGGTATAGCGCCTGTACTGGATAGCACCAGAGGTACAATGTAGACTTTGTTCATTTACCGGATTCTTAAAATTTCTTCTTGTATATTTATTTACTTTTTCAGCTATTGATCTCTGTATATTATTAGTGTTAGGAACTGCTATGTCTATTAAATGCATTACTTTATTTATTTTATCAATTAGACTTATATCTGGCCTATTATTGTGTATAGTTTTGTCAGTTAGTATGGCTCTGTCGAAGTACATCTTGTGCGTGGCGCCCTCCAGCACAGGTTTTGGGGCGTATTAGTAATATGGTTTCAGTGTGCTTTCTAATAATTTATATTTCAGAGCTGACCTTTGGTGAACTATGTGAGCTACCTGATTGTGCCTATGTGTGTTATCGGTTTGTGCGAGTGTCGGACAAGCACTTGTTATATGTATTATTATTATTATTATTATTATTATTATAACCTGTGTACACGTACCGGGCGCTACAACTATGCCGGAGATCTAAATGCTCTGACGAGTATAATTTTTTGTACATACCCTGGAACATCATTGGATAGCATTGTGTTAGAAAGATCCTAGAACCCTAATTGCGGTAACTAGTTTTGCACTACCTAAATAATTATTTAAAACAACTTTTACGGTTTAGACTCGTATTTCAAATGTCAACAAGTTTCCGAAGTTTCGTAAACCGTACAGTATTCACGGTCTGGGTCTAGCCGTAGTTAATAACACAAAGTCTAGTCTAATGAAACAAAGTCTGGCAGGTTTTATTACCCGCCAGACTAGACCGTAAAAGTAATTTTCGGGTAGCTACTAGCTAATCCCACCTCTCCTGGCTGAGCCGTTACTCGCCCACCTGTCCTGGTGAAACTGGAAAGGCCTCCGGGCCGGTAGTAATCCTTCAATCATAAAAAAAGGAATTTTAATTATGTCTCCCGCAAACGAAAACCGGAGAATACCGTATTTAATAAGATATATTAATATATATTTTATTTATTTTAAGTGAAATAGATGTTTTTTCTGATTGTCTCACTACTTACAGGAAAAATCCGTCGCGGATCATCTCCCAATTAAATTAATCTTAAGCAATGAATGAAATGTATTCAAATCTTAGCTGTATATTTTTTTATTTTTGATGTTAATGCACTGTCGATTGCACCTATAATTGAGGTGACATCTGCCATGAACTTTTGTCAATTTGTCAATGTTTTGTATTGATGATCACTTTGTTGGTGCAACTTAATAAATAAATAAATAAATAATTAATTTTATTTTGATTAAATTACTTTTATTGGATGCAGTGTTAATGAGTAAATAATTTTTATTAACGAATTAGTTACCGATAGCGAACCCAGGATGTTATTGTTAATGAATTTGACGACCGCACTGTGCCGAACCGGTTTTGTTTGCGAGTCAAAAATTAAATATTTATTAAACATACTCCGCTAATTTCTGGGAGAAATTTGTTCTCTCACTTATGCTTCTTTTAACTTTTAACACTGAATTTAAATCTAAGCTAAATTTATTTATTGTGTAACAATGAAATAGTGTTCTTTTTAACTCCTGTATTTTTACGAACGCTAAAGAAAAGGCTGAGAGATTTTTAATGTGATTAGTTAATATTGTTTTCCGCCTAAATTAGCATTAGCAACAAGAAGCTCTGAGACATATATTTTGAAATTTTACGCGACTGACTAAAATGGATGTGAAGCAGTGTTATATATATTTTTTTAATAAACCATCAACATATGTACAACGATTGGCTTAAACAAGATCTGTTCTTCGGATGTAATGTTACAATTGTGTTTATCTAAGTTATCTGGTATGGGTAAGGTGCGACAATTTACATAATGCAAGATATTTTATGTTCGACTTGACGAAGTAAAAGTTAGGGGCTTAAAAAAAGGGGGGGATATAAATCGTCTTACTTCTAATGCTGCTGTCAGACCAAAGTGCTTGCGAGCCAACTCAAGTCAAACCAGAAAAGTGTACTATCTATTCCTGGGGGAAACCACCCGCAAATTAACCTCAATATTTTCCCGTCTGTGAGAACTCTGGCCCTCATAAGCCCTACTGCTTCTCTAATACAAAAATAAAAACCAACCTTTATCGGGGAAGGTCTCAGCGCTGCCCGCGCCGAGATCCTGCAGGGCTTGCTCATCAACGCCGACGTCGCTCAATCCAAAATTCTGATCACGGAACACAACATTGTCCACGCCGGGACCCGCGTGCGAGTTCGTCACTGTCACACTATCAGAAGCGTACGGAAACACGACCCTTGGACTGCGAGCCCGCCAGCCCGAGTAATAACCGTTTCGGACCGCCGGCGCGAAATTTACAGGCGGAAAAGGTTCGAAGCTGAACCCGGGCGCGTACGGCCCAAACCTCTGCTGGTACAACGGCTGGCTCGGCGTCCGGAATCGCGGCTCGTAGTACCGCTCGTGGCCCGACGGCTCGGCCTTAACGTCCGACCCGTCCGAAGTAAACTCGTAGTCAGTGTTATCATCGAACTTTATCTTCGAGTTTTGGCCCGTTGTCAGATCAATCTCGCCGTTACCGAAATTCCCGTTTTGTCTATCGTCCAAGAACATGACTCTCTGTCTGCCGCGTCTCCTGTATATGTTCTTCGATATGAACATGACGTTTTTGTATGGCTTCTGGTAGACAGCGACGGCTCGGGACGACTCTGCCGCTGCCACCGAAGCCGCCACAAGCAGTATCACTTTCCATTTGTTTTGCCTGAACATATTGATCGCGGTCACTGAACCGGTGTGTGCACTTTCATTGCGTATTAAAAAAATAATTTAAAAATATATATATTTATTTTATTAAAAACTTTTAGTACATTTTTTGACGACGCCTCAATGGTTTTTTTTTGCGGGTTTTTTTTTTGTTTTGTTTTAGGTTACGTGCGGACGCGACGGCGGTCGTCTGGAGACTGGCCGTTCGCAGGGCGAAGCTACGCGAGGCTTACGTAAAGGCGGTGACGTGAGGCTCTTACGTAAGCTCGCAGATTAGACGGCTGTTTTGTATGGGATTCACGGCGCGCGACGCGGTAAGTGGGACGCGCGTTATCTACGCTGTAAGTGGTTCTGAGAATTACGTTTAATCTATCGCTTATAGGATATGTCGGTGACAGCGTCCTGCGAAATCCTGTCACGAACAAAATTTATGTTAAAAAATAGAAATTAACTTTTAATAAATTTTATCATCATTATATTATATTTATAATCATTTTTTTCTTACACTATTTTTAATTAAAATTTATTTTCTATTTTTTACTTGGATTTTCTATAAAAGCGTATTTTGTTAGTTTTTTTTGTTAACTACATATTATTTATTTTTCTGTTTTTAGATGAATTTAATTTTTTTCAATTTTTTTTTTATATTTTATTATTGTCTTCGGTCCTTAATAAGTATACCAAATTTCGAGTTAATCCGACGTTTTGATAGGGGTCAAAATCATGTTCAAAGATTCCGTTACATACTAACATACATACAACTGAAGCTAATAAAAGCGTATTAATAAAGATCTCATGCCACACGAAAGCTCAGCACCTTCGTAAACATAAAACCTATACCTGATGACAGCATTTCTACAATTTTTTTCAGTTTTCATCTAAGATCTTATGCTCTTAGCCAGCTGTTATGATAAGTGCGGGCAAAGATGTTATTACATCTCTGAGCTTCGGTATCCGCTCAATGTTGGGTGGAAAGACAGCCCATTGTATACGTCTACGCGTTTCCGTTTGATGACTGAAACAGCTGTTATAAAGCGTCTTAAGACGGGCTACAATATTTACATCGAGCTTCGAAGCTCACATCAAACTTATCAGTATTTAAATTGTTATTCCACAACGGTACCTAAAAGTAGCTGCATTAAAATAAGTTGTAAGAATACGGTAAAATATTCCCGACTAAATGAGTAGGATTTTGAGTTAAAAACCAACAGAGCTTTTTAATTGTTGATTTCGAACAAAAGACTTCAACGGGTGCTCTTTTTAACGTCACTCTTATTTTACTACGTGAAGAAAAATAACCTATCGAATTTGTATTTAATTTGCTATCTGATTCATGAGATCTCAATTTTTATACTGTTTTAAATCAATTTTTCACAGAGCACAAAATATTCTTCAAATATATTTTAATTTAATTTCTTTTTTTTTCAAATCTTTCTTTTCAAATCTCTTTTCAAATATCGCATTTATAGATAACATTAGAACCAAATTGCAATAAATAATAAAATATTATAATAAAAACATCGAAGCGCTGATGCTAAGACCAAATACAACGGACCTTTAATTAAAAAGATAAATGTCGCGTGCCAAGAAATTAAACCAAATAGCCTTTCCCCCTCGATATATTTGTATCATTAAATTTTTTTCATTAAGAGCCATCTGTTGAGGGAAACCAAAACTATTTCTGTTACACGCTACTTTGCGTAAATCGGTGCAATGAAAGGAGTCGAGTGAATAACTCCTTATGTCGACCAATAGATGGCACTGTCAAAGTTAATATTGGAGTTTCACTACAACTCATAGGTTTTTTTCCTACCTATGCTGATAGCCTTGAGAGGCTATTTCAGCTTCACCCTAACGTGTGTAAGTGAGCTCACGGGGCTCAAACCGGAATGTTGCTAGCACTGACCCTAGCAAGAGCAGTGCTTCGCAGAATCTACCACCGGATCGGAAACGCGACCCACTGATAAAGATCCGGCGAGAAACTCAGTGGGCTCTGTCTATGGGTTAAACTAATAGGTGGCGCAGTGCTTTCGTTCACTGAGTTTCTCATCGCATCTTCTCAGTGGGCCGTGATTTCGATCCGATGATATATTTCAGCGAAGCACTGCTCTTGCTAGGGTTAGTGTTAGCAAATTCTCTCATGACGAGTCCGTGAGCTCACCTACTCATCTGTGTGCTTAGTGCGAGTTTCTTAACGTTTTCGATAGCGTTAAAGTTAAGCCAATTTTGTATGCAGTTGGAACAGCGCCCCTAGCGGCAAACGTACGCAAACGATCCCATTCCATATAAACATGAGTTAACTTTTACGCTATCGAGAACGTTAAAAAACTCGCACTAAGCACACAGCGGTTTATATTTTAACAAAACTAATCTATACTTCTATACTAATACTAATACTAATACTAATAATATTATAAAGAGGAAAGATTTGTTTGTTTGTTTGTTTCGAATAGGCTCCGAAACTACTGGACCGATTTGAAAAATTCTTTTTCCATTAGAAACCGACATTGTCCCTGATGAACATAGGCTACTTTTTTTTATTTTTTTTTTATTTTTTATTTTTGGTTTCATGTGTGTTTTAATGTTTCCGAAGCGAAGCGAGGGCGGGTCGCTGTCCCTAATAAGTAAATTGATAAATAACGATGTGTTCTTTCTTACGTTACGAATTTAATTTTAATCCTCTACTTGGGTGTACCTTTACGACTTAATTGTTACTGGTGGTCCCGCAGTAGTCGAAATTCACGAATTAACGACCACGGACACAGTCCGAGAAAGATACTAAATCGTCGCAGCATGATAAGAGTAACCGTAACTATAATGGGGGATAAGGGTCAGTGGAAAAAGTCAGAAGACTTATGCCGGCCACTGACATGCGTGAAAGGCCGTCAAACATTCATTGGCAAACCTAGCAGCTGTGCAAATGGGTTCGCATACTCAATTTGCGAACCCGTTTGCGCTTCCTCCTACACTTGTTTACGAATGTCTCACGAATTTCTCCTCCTTTTTAATTCGTCAATAGAACATTGAAGAGAAAAAGAGTTTTGAATTCTTTCCCAGATATCATTAACAGCCATGCTGTTTTTATGGGATTTCTTTTGATGAAGATACGCTACACAGTAGACGTCACGAACTATGAAAATGGCGTCTAGTATACGTCCGTTACTTTCGCAATCGTCGGCGCAACTGGGCAAGTGAATGTGTGGGAGACTACGCGAAGGTTTGTGCGCTTTGATGTCTGTTAAAAAACCGACACAGCTTGGAAAACCACGAATGTAGCGAAAACTTTGCATAATCATTTGCAAATGTCGTCCTACACTTGCGGGTTTGCGTATTCGTGCGCATGTGAGTGACCGGTGTTAGATAAGGCTGGGCAACAGGAAAATCGCGGCCAATCGCTGTACGACCATTTTTGTTAGCTGACAATTACCCTCAAAATTTGATTAAATCTATATCTATATATATAAAAATGAATTGCTGTTCGTTAATCTCGCTAAAACTCGAGAACGACTGGACCGATTTGGCTAATTTTGATCTTGAATTATTTGTGGAGGTCCAGAGAAGGTTTAAAAGGTTAGATAAATATGAAAATGTTCGGAATTAATAATAAAATAACAATTTTGTTTTTCCTTTGATGTGTCCCCCGTCGATCGGATTCCTTTTTATGTTTTAAGTTTATTTTATACTTTATCGATTGAGTACGAAGTCTGTCGGGTCATCTAGTATTTCGATATAATTTGGTCGCGATTTCGATCTGGTTGTAGATTCAACGAAGCACTGCTCTTGCTAGGGCTAGGGTTAGCAAATCCGTCAGGCTGAGCCAGTGAGCTGGCCTACACATTCATTGAATCTAGTATAACCCCTCGAGATTACTAGAATAGGCAAAAAGAGCACTGAAAGGGATTTCTTTCGACCTCCGAGCGCATGACCAAGAAAAAAATCGCGCGGCGCCGCGGACACAAGCGTTACGATTTTAATGTTACTTCTTACAGTTTCGCTTTGCTTGTCATTAAAACAGCGAACTCCATTGAGCGTGTAGAAGACAATTAAATTTTACTATAACAACATGCTTTCCTAATGCCACGTGACATGGGCGCGTTAATACCTGAGGCGGCGCAGGCGACAGTGTGAAACCCGCTTTACAGCCGCGTCCCAGTTCCAAACCGGCAGTACGCGTTCCGCCATCGTCGAAAGCGGACCGCGCTCGCTGACCGAACGACGAAATCAAAATTCGAACTCACAAAAACTAATTTCATATTAAAAAAAATTTTAATTAATTTTCATTTTAAGTAACGAATTAACTTTTTTTTTTTTTTCATTCATTATATACGGGTTGTTGTTTTTTTTTTGTTTTGTTGTTTTTCATTTTAATTCGTAATTGAATGACTTTTTGTTTTTTTGTTTTTTTTTTGTTTTGTGATAGTACGTTAGTGAAAGTTCCGGAGGAAAGTGAAAGGCGCCGGTGTGTCCTACGCAGTCTCCGGATAAAGGTAACCGAGGATTTTATGATTTGACCCAGTTTTTTGCGTTTGTTAAGCCGTTCCGACTGGTATACCGTTTAGTCGCCGCTAAGTGCTAAAAGCTCTATCAGGCTACGGGTCAACGTAACATAAGCGCTTCTAGTCCAAGAGATCGGGTATTCAAGATCGTTGTAAGGTTTATAATACATTTAAAAAAACATGTATCAAATGCCTATGAGATAACATAGTTTGCTCCGATCCGTGTAAGTCAGAGGGTCTCGCATTAGCCACTTCTATCTACCACCGCTGCATTGAAAGCATTTTCTTGGTATTGTTTACCCGCATTAGTACCACAACCCCATTTATAAAAAGCACAGAGCAGTCGAACCAGAAAGGTTAATGACCGCAGTACGATCAAGATCAAAAGTCTTAGTTCAAATTTGAAATTAATTTCGTGACTGTCTCGTCTAAACTTACTTCAATTATAATGATGACAGGAAAGTTCATGGTCTGTTGGTCCTTCGAGCCGTGACCCAGAGACGAGAACGAACCAGTACATGTTGAGGTCAGTCATGGACCACGCTCGCCCAGACCGGTATCGTTCTGGCCTCAAGCGCTCCGTCCATGAGAAATAAACAATTCCTTTTAGCAAAAATAAAAACCGGCGTTAACAAACTTAACGAGTACGTCACCAATGTAGTCGAAGATAATAAAATCTATACTAAGTAATCTGTTCATTTTTTAATATTTCTTAAATACTCCAGTATTTATTCCAAGTATTTTGTATTCTTCGTTCTGCTTCTAACTCATTGTTTTTGCTATTAAACCCTATTTGCTTACCCAAGTAAATGTATTTATCTGTACTAGAGGTCCCGCAGTAGT